TTGGCAGGGGAGGTGGGCATGAGGTCCCATCCCCAGCTAAGGAGCTGCTAGCAACTGATGGCTGCTGTGAGAGGGGCAATAGGCTTTCTTTAAGGTTACAGGCCCTGGCAAGTCAAGCAAGCTTCAGCGGAAAGCCACAGGTCTAAGAACGAAAGGAAAACATAAACAGGACTTGGTGGGTAGTTTTAAAAAAAAATAAAAAGGAGAAAAATTTTGATGGGTAGGGAAAGTAGAGTGGATCTGAGAGGACTTGAGGGGCGTGATTGAAATAGATTGTATAAAATCCCCCCAAAACAAATCACAATGAAATAAAAGAAAAACAACAAAACGCCAAAGTGCTGCTTCAGTAGCACCCTCTCCTGCCCTCTCTTCTGCAGTTACTAAGCAGGGGCGGGGAAGGGGGGCTCTTAACCACCAGATTAACTTTATATGAACACGGGACCTTGAGAATGAAAGGAAGTGCTCTGCTGTGTGTGAGCCATCCATAGTTTGGTGAGAATGGGGGTTTTAACAGTGATGAGGGCTGTGACCAAGGGAAGCTCCTAGGAGACAGATGTTTCCAGAGATGAAAAGTATGAATCTGGACAAAAGTCAAACACAGCAGCCACAGAGGGGCTCTGGAGAAAGGAGGGTGGGGCAGGGCTGCTGGGCGTTGGTCTTGGAAGAGGACAGCAGAGACGAGGCTCAGTGTTGTTGACTGGCCGCAGCTGACCCCTGATGTCCCACTAGTCCCCATCTATGCTCCTGGACAAGGCCAGGAGCATAGGCCCTCTTCTGTCTTCCTCTTACTTGGTAACTCTCTGACCACATGCTTGTCTCCCCTCCCTCAGCATTTGAGCAGCTCAGGAGTTCCCAGATCCCTTCCTTTCTTCTCTGCCTCCATCTTTCTCCTCTCTCTTCTTGTCCATTTTTTTCTTTACCTGATCTTTGGCTTTGGCTTTTAATTAACATGTTTTCTCTTCAAATGTCACAGTCCCCCTGATTTTTCAGTTATGCCTGATATCCCGTCATCCTTCAGGGTAGCCGGGCTCCATCTCAGCATCTCTGCTGATGCCTCCGCTTTGTTTCTGGGGCAGAGGGGTGAAGGTAAATTCGAAAGACAACCATAATATAAATATTATATGGAGTTTTAATTTCTTGTTATATTTTCCCCAAGAAAATGCCATGTTGGGGTTCTTATATTCCTCTATTTTTTGGCTAAGGCCAAATTTACAGAAGACACATACACAGATGTTGTGATCTTACTGAACTTCGTTGTCTCATGGCACTCCTAACGTACAAACTGATCTTCCAGTGAGCTTCCACTGGCCTGCATCATTCTACTCCCCCTGAAAAATCTGTCAGCCCAACCTAAAAAGCTACACATCAGTCTTTACTTCTTTTCCTCTATTACCATAAAATCCAACCTATCTTGATTTCTGCTTATTTTAATGTATCTAAGACCTCACTTCAAACTTGAGTCAATCTTAATTTAAGTCACAGCCATAGCCATAAGCAAGTCTACCTTCCTTTACTTCTTTCTGCCATTGTTTGCAGCTACAAGCATGGTCAGATTTCTTCTTCCTTGGGAAGATCCTCCAGCTGTAACCCAATGCCCATCACAAGGAGTGTCAAACATTCTCACAGCAAACAAACACAACCCTTCTTCTACATCCACACAACCAACTAACCCCAAATTGACACTATTGAGGGCAAGAAAAAAGTGCATCTGCCCTGACCATCTACAGACCTTATTTTCTTCTGATTATTTCCTAAGCAGTAGAGCAACTACTAACATTACATTCATGTTTCACTAGGTATCACGAGTGATCTAAATGTCATTCTAAGTAGCCAGAGAGTGTACATAGATTGTGTACAAACACTCCATTGTCTCATACAAGGCACGTAGGCTAATATGGGTTTTGGTATCCTAGGAAGGCCTTGGAACGTATCCTCAGTGGATAGCACGACTTTCCCATAAACATCACATATGATCCTATATACATATAAATGGGCATTTGGTATTTACTAGAACCAATTTTCCCTGTCAATTCTAAATGTATGGCTTTCCTAAGCCAATTTATGAAAAAAATAATAATGGTTTGCTTTGATAAAATTACAATTTTTAAATCTTTAGTGCTGGAATTTGATCACCACTAACTTGCTCTTTGTTTCCTGTTTCATTTGATCTCATGCATCCTTTAAAAAGTCTGATTTACCATGAAATTTGCAGGCAAATGGTGGGATCTAGAAAAGATCATCCTGAGTGAGGTATCCCAGAAGCAGAAAGACACACATGGTATATACTCACTTATAAGTGGATATTAGACATATAATATAGGAAAATCATGCTAAAAGCTGTACACCTAAGGAAGCTAAGTAAGAAGGAGGACCCTGGGTAAGATGTTCAATCTTCATTCAGAAAGGCAAATGAGATGGACATTGGAAGAGGGAGAAAACAGGGAACAGGACTAGAGCCCATCACAAAGGGCCTCTGAAAGACTCCACCTAGCAGGGTTATCAAAACATATGATAAGACTCATAGCCAAACTTTGGGCAGAGTGCAGGGAATCTTATGAAAGAAGGGAGAGATAGAAAGACCTGGAGAGAACAGGAGTTCCACAAAGGGTGCAACAGAACCAAAAATCTGGGCACAGGGGTCTTTTGTGAGACAGATACTCCAACCAAGGACCGTGCATGGAGATAACTTAGAACCCCTGCACAGATGTAGCCCAAGGCAGCTCAGTATCCAAGAGAGTTCCCCAATAATAGGAACAGGGACTGTCTCTGACATGAACTCATGGGCTGGCTCCTGGATCACCTCACCCTGAGGTGAGTCTTATCAGTCCACAGAGGAAGACAAAAAAAAACAGTCATGATGAGACCTGATACACTATGGTCAGATGGAAGGGGAGGAAGACCTCCCCTATTATTGGACTGGGAGGGGAGCATAGGAGAAGAAGAGAAAGGGAGGAAGGGATTGAGAGGGGATGGGGGAGAGAGTACAGCTGGGATACAAAGTGAATAAACTATAGTTAATAAAATAATCCAGTGCTATAAAAAAAGAATGCTTTCATCAGAAGGAAAAAAAAAAGCCTGATTTACAGCACTAGTGGACAGCAATTATCACAGGCTGTTGGTTTTTCCAAGAGACCGCCTTTTTAGCTTCGTCTGCTGTTCATTAAACCGTGATGGGAATATGTAAATAAATAGCACAGATTACTTGGTCGCTGGAGTCTACCTGGTTAAAATCTGATGCGTATGCTGGAGAGGCTGTGGAGAAAGGGGAACCCTTCTCCACTGTTGGTGGGAATGTAAACTGGTACAACCACTCTGGAAATCAATCTGGCGCTTTCTCAGACAACTAGGAATAGCGCTTCCTCAAGATCCAACCATACCACTCCTAGGCATATACCCAAAAGAGGCTCAAGTACACAAAAAGGACATTTGCTCAACCATGTTTGTAGCAGCTTTATTTGTAATAGCCAGAAGCTGGAAACAGCCCAGATGCCCCTCAACTGAAGAATGGATGCAGAAACTGTGGTACATCTATACAATGGAATATTACTCAGCAATGAAAAATAAGGAAATCATGAAATTTGCAGGTAAATAGTGGGACCTGGAAAGGATCATCCTGAGTGAGTTGTCCCAGAAGCAAAAAGACACACACAGTATATACTCACTCATATAAACATACAACATAGAATAAACCCACTAAAATCTGTACATCTAAACAAACTAAGCAAAAGAGAGGACCCTAACTAAAATGTTCAATCCCCATCCTGAAAGGCAAAGAGGATGGACATCAGAAGAAAAAGAAAACAGGAAACAACTTAGGAACCTGCTATAGAGGGCCTCTGAAAGCCAGAAGAAGAAAACAGGAAACAACCTCTGAACCTGCCACAGAGGGCCCCTGAAAGCCTCTGCCGTGCAGACTGTCAAAGCAGATGCTGAGCCTGATGGCCAACTGACAGGCAGAATGAATGGAATTTTATGTAAGAAGTGGGAAATATTTAAGAGCTGGAGAGGACAGGAACTCCACAAGGAGAGCAACAGAACAAGAAAATTTGAACACAGGGAACTTCCCAGAGACTCATACTCCAACCAAGGACTATCCATGGAGATAACCTAGAACCCTGACAATGCAACCACTTCTGATGAGAACTGATAGACTAAGATCAGAAAGAAGGAGAGGAGGACCTCCCCTAGCAGTGGACTTGGGGAGGGGTATGCATGCAGAAAGGGGAGGGAGGGTGGGACCGGGAGGGGAGGCAGGAGAAGCTTATGGGGGGATACAAAATGAATAAAGTGTAATTAATAAAAGTTAAAAAAAAAGAAGGGACTTAAAAAAATCTGATGTGTAACGTTTTGAGTGTGTCTCGAAGAGCTTGATTTTCAAAGACAAAGAAAAGGCTGATTTGGTGTAGCTCTTAATCTTCCCCCCCTCGACACTCTGAAAACCAATGACTGACATACTAAAGCCCTGACCCTCACTGTGACAGACACGATCCACTGGCATGTGCACTGCGTTCATAGAGCTGCATTTTCAAGTGTTGCCCATGGTTTACTCAGTTTCTGATGTCTACCTTTGTAGTCAGGGAGTTACTTGGCTCCTGCCCTTGCTACTGCCCTCATCCTGGATTTCTGCTCAACTCACTGAAAAGGCTCGGATGCTAATTAACCCCCTATGTTATACTGTGTCAAAGCGCTTTCTATACACCTCTGTCTCCAGCTTGTGTGTCCTGTGTGACATTCTTTCCTTGCAGCTGTGAGCACCTACGAAAGATGACTAGTCTAGTTAGTACTCAGTTTTCATGGTGATTGTTTTCTTTATAAGCATCGTTGGCATTAATAGCAATAGCAGGTCATGTGGTTACATGGCTGAAACTCCAGGTTTTCCCAAGGGAAGCCAAAGACCACATTCTCACTGATTTGACCTAACAAGTTAGGGTGGAGTACAAGCTGCCTTCTAAACCATATGAATGGTAATTTTGACTTCCTTTAGTAAGGGCATCACCCACCCACGAAGGACAGCAGGATGGCCAGCAGCACGATGAGGGCGCAGATGCAGGGGATGAGCACCAGCAGGAGGAAGCGTAGCAAACTGGCCGTCACCAGCTTCCGAGGACAGCCCTCGCCCACGCTGCTGTCGGCTCTCAAGACCTGATGGAAGAGGGAGAAACGAAACATGGCTTTAGTATCGGGGGCTGGCATGAAACTTTACACTACAGCTGTCCTTTCAGGGAGGCGCTGTTCCTAAGAGGTTTGATACTGTGTACTTGAGGGCATGAATAATGCTGTCCAAAAACAGTCATGAGCAATTGAATGACTACAAGCACAAATAAGTCCTTCTCTTCCCCAGCCTCTTTCCTCCCTTTTTCCTCTTCACTTTTGTCCTCACCCTCTTCCTTTTCTCCTTCCTTCTCTTCCTTCCTCTTCTCCTTTTCCCCCATCCTAAGCAGTCTATCAACTTTCCTTGTTACTTTTTTGTTACTTACTCTGATTTTTTTCATTAGATAAACTTTTAATGATATATCAGCTTGTTTGTTTGCTTGCTTTAAAGAAGCACTTATCAGTTTGGCAATATTCCAAATGCCGTGAATTACCATGGCATTACCCTTCCTCAGCCAGATGTGGACAAAGCCAGGGCTGTCTGACAGTAATAAAATACTGGTACAGACAGGACATTAACTGGGCTTCATTCTTATTTGTCTCAGTTCCAACCCACGTCTGCACGCACACACATCTGGGTAAAATGAGTTTCCAGGCCTTCACAATTCTACAGGGTTAAGTATTACTAATCACGCATCTACTAGAAGTCCAACAGGGAGAGACCATCACGGGTGTCAGTGAAACAGAGCTGGGCTAGCTCTGCTGCTCCCCTCCCCCATTCTCTCACAGCCCATCCATGAGAGCGAGAGACAGACCACAGTGATGACTCAAGAGTTCTTGTCAGCAAATGCTTTACATTGTGTGAAGTTCAAGCTCCTGTCTGGGAATTTGTTTATTACAAATGGCTAGCTGAAGGCAGAAGCTTTCTCAGCAGAAGCCTGAGATGCTGCTAAAAGTGCTTCAGTTATGACAGGCTGCTGTCCTGGTGCCCAGAACAAGGATAGCTCCTAGTTCTTGAGCCCCAGCCTTGCTCTCCTGACGGCTTCGGCACTCGGTCTGCTAACCTCTGCAGGTTTTTGAAACACCATTGTTCAGCCCTGAACTGCCTCTCTTGTTATGTTGTGCAGACCCTGTTCTGGGTGGTGACCAACCCAAACCCAAAATTAATTTGCTTCTCTTTCCCTACTTCCAAACTAATTCTCTCCTGCTTTTTGTATATTCACAGAAACTCTACTGTTCTAACAACCCCAATAACAAGCACTTCCCCCCCCCCGAACCACTGCCACACATGGCCAGTACTCTTCCTCTTTAATATATATGTAACTTTCAATAACAGAACAGCCCTGCATAAATACTTTTCATTATCAAGACTGCTCCAACAGAATGGTCCTGTAGTAGTGTTAGAACTTCCTGGCTGACCCATGGTCATTCCCAGGACATGCAAAGGAAATGAGCTGGCATTCAATAGGTTCTTCCGAGGCATACAGTAAGAAGTGTCTGCACAGAATGCAATGGTGTCTCCAGTAACTTTAAGAATTCTCCAGGAAAGATGTTCTTTGAAAGAACATGTGATGTGAGCTTAGGAAGGGCTTCATTTATTAGACTCATGTGGCTACTAACCCATTTCCACAGCGCCTGGTTCAAGGCACCAGCCAAGGTGAGTTTATTTAGTCAGTCTGCAATTGATTCTGAAGCAGATAGAGGGATGGCATAATAAAATAGGAGGTCTGAGACAGCACCTCAATCACAGCTCTGTCACTGGACAGGGGGCACCCTTTCAGGCTTGCAGATGGTGTTTATCTGATGGGACTTCAGACCAACAAAGATAGCGACAGAATCAGTTTACTCAATTAGGTATTGAATGCCTGCAATAAGTCTAACAATGATTTCAAACCAATGATCTCTCCAAATCGCATACCTTATAGGAGTTACACTGCCATGAGAACTCAAGGATAGGAATATGGTTTCCTGTGGAAGGCCTGTAGAGAGGATGCACTTCAACCAACATAATTCTAAAAAAAGTAACCCCGAAAGAGTACATAAGAGGAGACAAGACAGCCACAGCACTAAAGGATCTTGAACTTTCTTTGACTCCTCCCTGCAATGAAATGACAGAAGCCATCTCTTTATTAAGATGGTCATGGGACTATTTTAGGGATAACTGTTCCAGGTTACCCATGGCTTCTTGATGTCCAGTATGCTATAGCAAACACATTCCAGTTAGTACTCGCAAGGGAAGAATCAGAAGCAGGGAGTTCTACGATTCCATACAAGTGCATATCAGTAAGTGCCTAACCTTCAGAAACTACACTCCCGATTAGTCTAAACATTTTTACCAATGGCTAAGAAACCAAATCCTTTATTTTTTTTCTTTTTTTTAAGGAAGGGAAGGAGGAACTACTGAAGACAACTCAGTTTAGCACTGTCTTCTCAGCCACATGGTTCCTGCCTGCACTCTTGGCTCCTGAAGACTGTGGCTAGAAGTGTTGTGTCCGTTACATATCTGTTAGGCTCTGAACACCATGCAGTGTAGAGCTGGTGAATTTAAAACTTTCTTCTCAGACTCTTCTGCTAAAAAAAAAAAAAAAAAAAAAAAAAAAAAAAAAAAAAAAAAAAAAAAACCCTAACTGACCCTTCCACTTCTGCTACAAACCCTGCCACCTCTGTTCAAGAGTCCTACATTCACCTTTTAATCCTCCCCCTCCATCCTCTCCACTCCCCCTCCATCCCTCCCTCCTGTATCACCACATCCTCTATGGACAGCTTTTTACCAAACTTAAAATCTTAATTAAGTCTGAGGCTAGGGAAATGGCAAGCACAAAGATCTGAGTTCAGATTCCCAACACCCAGGGAACTTCTGGATGGGTTTGATGGCTTGCCTGTAATTCCAGCCTTGGAAGGGAGAGACGTGGGATCCCTGGAGAAAGCAGGTAAGTGAGACTAGCCAGGCTCTGGGTTTCTTTGAGGGACCCTTCCTCAGTGAATAAGGTACAAATCTGTGGAAGATGATTCTTGATGTCATCCTGGGTTCTACACACACACACACACACACACACGCAAAAGCATATATATACATATATATATACATATATATATGTATATATATATGTATATATACATATATGTATATATACATAAAGCATATATATATACATATATATATACATATATATATACATATATATATACATATATATACACACACACACACAGGCACACAAATGCACACCATACACACACACAGGAAAAAGTGAGGAAGAGGAGCAATCTTCAGTCTCTGCTAATTTCATCAATCCTCGAGCCTACATCCCACTCCAGTCACTGGAGGGAATTAACAATTTTCAAATAAATGAGTAAATTAAATCACCCAAACAAAATTATTCTGCAGTTATGCAAACGACTTCTTTTAAAATAATGTTTCCCTAGAGATTGCCCCACATGGACTCTATTCCTGAATCAAAGTCTCTCCAGTGGAAACTGTATTTGCAGATGCACAACCATTATAATGTTAAGTGAGATACGGGTCTTTGTATGGAAAGCATCCTAAAGTTAGTAAACTTTAGTTAAACCAAAGTAAGGAAACTTCCCAGGTTTCCTAGGACTGTAAGTGGAAGCTTACATTCAGACCTCATTATTATAAACTTTGGTGTCAAATAGAAAACTGTGTTGTAGAAAGTAAAGTGTAGTGGATCTTACTATAAACAAAACCACAAACGCCACCATGCTGAGATACAACAAGTGGCTCTGACACTGCCAACCCCAAATCAGAAATCCCTTGGCAATTCTGCTTTCTGGCACATTAAATGTTGTCTTTGTCAGCAGCTTCTTCTTCTTCTTCTTCTTCTTCTTCTTCTTCTTCTTCTTCTTCT